TTGAGCCAAACTGATGACAATTGCTGGAAAGCAAAATCTCAATGGATTGAGAAAGTGCTCCAGAAAATGGCCATTTTGTAACTTATTTTATACATTAGAATTAAAGGAGGAAGGTTACATGAAATTCATTGGTTGTAGATTAAGGGGGTGGGAGAAAGCAAAGCAGGAAAATCTCTGGGATTGGATAAAAAGTAAAATGGAGAGACACACTTCTTTTACATTGGTGGGTATAGCATAATTAATAGCATTTTACAGCACATAGAGATAGTATTTGGGGAACAAGATAACAGTGAGGGACTTTGTAGATTCCTGCTCTGGTGTGGTGGTTTGTGCCCCCTGGGGGGTCTGGAAAAAGAGATTACTCTGATATTGCAAGGTTATGTTATCTTAGATGCAAAAAGACTGACAGACAGGCTTAAGGCAAAGATTGACCTTTGTCAAGGAAGCTACAGGCCAAGGATGTGACTTCCCACCATGGCCCACCTTTGTTAGGAATTTATGTTCACGCCATCCTCTGTGGTTATTTTCAGTCTCCTGAGCTTGTCAGATTTAACATGTGGCCCCTTTTCCATCCACGTAAACCTGTAGAGAATTTTTATAAGAGTTTATGTGAGCCAAACTGATGACATATCCCAGGGAGCAAGATCTCAAATGCTTCAGAGAAGTACAGCTTTGCAGCTTCTTTTATGCATTCGAAATTAAGGAAGATTACATGAAGGTGGGAGAAAACAAGGAGGGGATTGGATTGCAGACCAGTTAACCAGATGATGTGCTCTTCTGTGGGTTAATACCCCCTTCAGGGGTGTTACTTCTCGCATCTCAAAGGTGAGTGAACCTGGATGCACAAGAACCATGGACAGGGCTGGCTTAGCACCTTGCACTAAAGAAGTTCTAAGCCCGGGGCATCACTCCCCACCATGACTGCCCAGGTAGGAATTTATGATCAGATCACCCTGTGAGGTTACTTTCTGTAGAACCCCTTTTTCATCCACACTTCTCTATAAATTGTTAATATCCATTTGTTTATAGCTCATCATCATCCCTAAAGACTTGGGTGTGAGTGAGTTCTTAGGAAACAGTGGGCTAGTGCAAAGTCTGTCTGTCTTTCAAAAGGGCTGCTATAAATGTCTCAAGTAAGTTGATGAATGAGGCACCTTCAAGATGCATGGTGGTCAGTGTGAAATGGGAGTTCACGCTGAGAATATACTTGACAGCTTGTAATTGGCATGACAGTCAATGCTGTACTCTCAATCGCATCTGCGACCCTGAAGCCACCATCCTCTCCCCAGCTGGTGTCCCTTTACGGGCTTCAAAGGACAAGAAGGGGAAGGGGCTTTGTATTTACCCTCCAGTGCCCCAGATGTCTTCCTGCCTACAATGCTTGTTATGTTAATTTCTTGGCTCCAGAATCCCTGGGTTAAGCAGGTAATTTTTTTTTTTTAAGATTTTATTAGGAAATTGGGGGAGGGGAACAGACAAGTTGCTGTCCTTTTGTTCTTCAGTCTAGTTGTGGAGGATGTCTCTTCACTGGCCCATGTTGGTATTATCACTGCGCTCTTCCCGGGTGAGGCAGTCGTTCGCTGGCCACTGGACAGCTGCTCACAGCGGCTCTTGGAAACTCATGCCGGCGGCAGGAGCTCACAATAGCTTATGGCAGCCCACTGCAGCAGGGGCTGCAGGCTACGCCGTCGCTGGCGACTCACGGCTGCCCAGCTCCAGGTCAAGCTGTTGTTCACCATCTTAGCTGTAGAGGGCAGTGTCACTGGCCCTCATGTGGGATCCGAACCGGGGTCCTGCTGCTCAGAGCTGGCGTCCCAAGCCAACTCTTAACCAACGTGCCACTCGGCCAGCCCTTAAGCGAACTCAACCAACGTGCCACTCGGCCAGCCCTTAAGCGGGTAATTTAAATTAGAAAGTCGAATCATTGAGAAGTACAAGGCCAAGGTTAGAATTTTCCAGGGAGCTTTCTTTTTTCTTTCCAAAACCTTGGCTGGGTTTGACATGTTCGCTTGATCCCTCCCTCTGCCATGGGGTGGATTTTTTCTTTGTTCACCCTATGATTGTGGATGAATCCTTCCTTATGGTCCAACTCTTAACCTTACCAGATCGATCGCTTTGTCTACTCTACCCATATGAATTGAAAAACCCACACTCCGAAATTAAGAAACCAATGACTTCCCAGGGCTGCCACATTATCAGCTCTCTCAGCACTCTTATTTTCAAGCCTTAATTTTTAGCCCCTAGGAACACCTCTTATTTTCTTGAGAATACTGCCATACATAGAAAGATACTAGTGGCATTTTATTTGGCATTTCTAGGTGTTTGTAGTAGGTGTAAATGTAAGAACATCCAAACCTGTAGAGAATTTTTATAAAAGTTTATTTGAGCCAAACTGACAATAATTGCAGGGAAGCAAGATCTCAAATACTTCAGAGAATGACAGTTTTACAGTTTCTTTTATGTATTTGAAATTAAGGAGGGGATGTAAGGAAAATTACATGAAGGTGGGAGAAAGCAAGGCAGGGAATGAGATTATGTGCTCTCTTGAGGATGATTATGTAACAGAGTATAAAATGCTCCTTTTCTCTGACTCCATCTTCTGCAAACCAGCTTTGTTCCCATGGCCTTCAGGCTAATAGCTTCTGCTCAGTCTTGCATATAAACATGCCAATCATTAGAGGAATTTTGCTTGGGGCTTGAGTTTTACAAAAACAGCTGTTTAACAGAAGGTACCTCTCCAGAGGAGATAAGGGAAGTTTGTACAAAACCCATGATTGTTTACCAAAGATTTGCAGGAACCTCCTGACCAGACTCACATCAACTAGCACAGTTTTCCTCAGGCTCCTGCTGGTGCCCAGATGTCTGCGGTGGTCCATCACCTCTTACCCCTCCCCTCTCCCTTTCCCTTGACATAACAGAAGCCTGAACTCTGGATTTTCTTTTGAAGCATCGGGCACACAGACTTTGGACCAGTAACCGCTACACTTATCCAAAGGTCTGTTAACCTGGATGCACAGAAACAATGGACAGGGCTTGCTTAAGGCAAAAATAAACCTTTTACTAAAGAAATTACAGGCCTGCGGTGTGACTACCCACCATGACCTGTCCCTTTAGGGATTTATGATCAGGTCACCTTGTGAGGTTACTTTCTGTAGAACCCCTTTTTCGTCCACATAAGAAAAGTTTTAGATTTTTTTTTCATCCACCATATTACCTAGAGCAGAAAGGGGAAACTCTTTTCCTGATACAGATTCTGGACTCAATTCTAAAGCATATGTGGAGTGGGGAGGCAGGTTTTCCCATACTACGAAGCAATTCTCAGACACCAGCTGGGTGTCCTACAGTTCGACTCATTTCTGACACTACCTACCTGGGATAGAATCAGATCCCACAGGTTGAGAGCTCAGTCCTACAAGACTGCCTGCCCCCCAACTTTCAGACACCAGTCACAAGATTAGGTTGTCACCTGTGCTTCTGACCAACCCTGATAGATTGGAGGCTCCAATGACTCCACACACACACACACCTTGGGTTTGATTCATTTGCTAGAGTGGCTCACAGAACTCAAAAAAACATTTAGTACTTATTACATCACTGGTTTATCCTAAAGGGGTGTACCTCAGGAATAACCAGATGGGAGAGATCTTTAGGGCAAGGTAAGAGGGAGGGCAAGGAGCATCAAAACCCTCTGCAAGCCCTCTCCGAATCTCCATGTGTTCACCAACCTCAAGCCCAAAGGCTTTCCAAATCCTTATGGGGATTTTCTGTTATCACGTCACCCAATACAGTCCGGACAAGCCAGGGAACTAGGTCACCTTGCCTTCGCCTGGCTTATCCCCTGGTCCAGATGGAAAGATATGTGGACCAGTTACAGTGATGTAGTTCTTCCTCAGAAACCTCACTCAGCGAGCCCAGTCCTCTTCTACCATGAGGTTTCCCACCTCTCTGTGGGCTCCATCCTCCATCATTCTTCCCTTCAGCTTACCAACATCTAACCTTCCGAAAATCTATTCACAGTGGTGTTAAGGGTTGCCTTCATTGATAATTCTACTTCTGAGGCCAGCCACAGGGTTTTGATTGGGTGATGGATTAGCAAGAAGAGACCAGTCAACACACAAATCACTTTCTCTCAGGGAAGATTAAATTTCCAATTTAATTAACCAAAGAGAAAAAGTCTGGTCTGCAGTGGGGCAGCCTGTGCTGGCCTGTGAGTCAAATGCTTGCTGGAACCTCAACAGACCCCTGGTGGTCATTGCACCTTGTATACTGGACCTCACATCAACAATCCAGGAGGAACTGAACCAACCATTACATGAGTCTCTCTGGGTTTTTAACTTCAAGATCATGGAAGCCACATGGTTATTGGATTATGCGGGAGGAGGGCATTACAGGAAGAGGAATCAGTGCCCAGGCTTCCCTAAGTAGTATCATCTCTGCCTTAGCTTTTCAACATGCTGAAAAGCCCATTTTCCCCACAGTAGAGATGCCAATACCATGACAACTTTTTTAAATGGTTAAATATTGAGTCTAATTCTCCCAGCACCTAAATTACTCCTCCCCGATGACATGAACATTCCATTTCATCTACAATCCTTGTATTAAGGTTCATTACCAAACTCCTTGGTTTTATATATGCCCTGTCCACCTCCCCTACTAGGCAATTAAAGATTATCATGGTAGGACTGATTTTTATATCTCCTTTCCCCCCAGCTGCCCAACATAGTACTTAGAGGTATTAAGTCTTCACAAATGAAATGCTCTGGCTTTCATTTAATTACGGGTCTCACTTCAGCTCTAGTAGTGGTCAGAGGCATTTATGAAGCATGTGGGTGGTACCGATTCCCCGCTTTAGAGGACGCTATTTCTATCCTAAACACCTTAGTAGCCTGATAGAGGTCATGAGACTTCCTAAAATACTCATTTTAACCACCAAAATAGTCTGGTTCAATAGGATTGATAATAATACATTTTGCTTTTTTCCCCTGTGTTTTACCTAATAGGTCAAAAAATTCACGACTTATGTCGTTGCTGCCGGACTTCAGTATGGGGCGGAAGGAGGCATGTTACATTCTTTTTTTAAGGTATGACTTTTTTCAATGTCTACGAGGATTTTTGTTTTAAGTGTTTTACAGCAAGTTTATACAATTTGAAGATGGCTTTGATTGCTTCTAGGTGTGACTATACCAGGAAAATAGCAGGGAATTAAGGTAAATGTAGGGGTAGGCCATAACCTCTTCTTTTTCTTTCCCATTATTACCAACTTGTATTCACCTTCCTCAGGATAATAAAGAAAAAGATGGACCTCCTTTCACTCAAGACACAAACACTGATCGAGTGCCTACCATGTGCTGGAAACCATTGTGGATGCTGTCAATACAGTTACATGATAAAGTCCCAGCACTCGGGGAGCTCACATTCTGGTCGGGTGGAGAAGAAGAGTGAGAGATAGTAAACAAATTAGCCAGTAAGTGTAGATGTTGAAAAATAAAATGGAAAAACAACGAAGCAGAAAAAGGTAGAAAGAGAACGCCAGGGTCGGGAGGTCATGTCTTCTGCATGATGGTTGAAGAAGGCCTTTGCAGTGGATGGGACGCTGGAGCAGAAAGTGGACGGCAGAGAGGGAGCCAACTCACCTGCTCCCTGGGGGAAAGAACACCCCAGGTGGTGGGAACCGTTCATGCAAAGAGCTGAGGCAGGCGTCTGCTTGCTAAGCTAAGGAACAGCAAAAAGACCAATGTGCCTCTGGGAGAATGGTAGGCGATGACGTCCAGGACGTGACGGAGGAGTCCGATGGGGCCCAGCCGTATCCCGCTGTGAGGACTTTGGCTCTTATTTTGAGTGGGGTGGAAAACCATTAGACTATGCTGAGCACAAAAGTGGCATCATGTGGCTTACGTTTTAAGAGGAGAACTTAAAACTGGGTTGAGAATGTAGCACAGTGGGGCCAGGGCAAAGCAGGGAGGCTGGGTAGGGGGTGGTAGTGCCCGCGCCCTGGGTGGAAGCGATGGAGACACGGACGATTGCTCAGATTTTGGATCTGTATTGAAGGTAGAGGTCATGGGATTGGTTCAAAGCTTGGATGGAAAGGTGACAGAACGTAAAGGCTGACTTTAAAGATTTTGGTCTGAGTAACTGGAAGTGTGGAGTTGTCATTTGCTGAGATGGGGACAAAGGAGAGTAGAACAGGTTACGGGGTGCAATGGGACACTCAGGAGCTCAGCTTTAGACGTGTTAAGTTTGAGATGACTGACGTCCAAGTTTAGTACTGACTAGGAAGTCGGACATGAGTTTGGAGATCGTAGAGGTGGTCTGGACTAGAGGTATCATCTTGGGAGCTGCCAGCACTTGGGTGGTATTTAAAGCCGTAGGACTCGATGACATCACCGAGGGAATAAACATGGAGAAGAGAAAAGACCGAGGACAGAGTCTTGGGACACTCCAGCTCCAATATTTGGAGATTACAAGGAGATGGGAGGGGATCAGGAAAGGAATCTGAGAAGGGAAGCCCAGTGAGGGGAGGGGGAAACAGCAGGGGAGTGTCGAAAGGGCCAAGTGAAAAAAGTGTTTCTAAACAGAAACAATGACGACTGTGTCAAATGCTGCAGATAATCAAATAACATGAAACCTGAGAGCTGACCACCGGAATTTTTAAAACTGGGTAAGACCAAAGCCTGATATGAGCAAATTCAAGAGGGTCCGAAGGGGAAGAGGGGGAGTGGGGATGGGGAGAAGAGAGACGTATTGGAGAAGTTTTCCTGTAACGTGGGATAGAGAAAGAAGGCAGTAGTTAGACAAGTGTGGACGAGAGAGGGTTGGTCGGCTTGACTTTCTTTTTTTTTAATATTTTATTGGGGAATTGGGGGAAGGGGAACAGACAAGCTGCTGTCCTTTTGTTCTTCAGTCTAGTTGTGGAGGACGTTGCTTCACTGGCCCATGTTGGCACCATCATTGCGCTCTTCCCGGGTGAGGCAGATCGGTCACCGGCCTCTGGACGGCCTCTCATGGAGGTTCTTGGCAGCTCATACTGGCTGCCAGCTGCTCATGCTGGCTGCCGGCCACACATGGTAGCTATGGCAGCCCACTGCAGCCCCACTGCAGCCTACACCATAGCCGGCGACTCATGGCATCCCAGCTCCAGGCTGAGCTGTTGTTCACCATCTTAGCTGTAGAGGGCAGTGTCACTGGCCCTCATGTGGGATCCGAACTGGGGTCCTACTGCTCAGAGCTGGCGTCCCAAGCTAGCTCTTAACCAACGTGCCACTCGGCCGGCCTGGTTTGACTTTTTCATGTAAGAGTTAGGGCAACTGAAGAGGCTAAGCTAAAGAAAGCTCTTTGTCATTGTCCATTCTCAGCTACTCCTTACCTGCCTGACCATTGAATGTTGGCATTTTCAGGGCCTCCGCCCTAGACCCTCTTCTCCATCTGCACTCTTTTCCTGAGTGGGTCTGTCCATTCCCATGGTGGGTGCCAATGACTCTCAAACCTAAATCACCAGCAGGGCTCTCCCTCCTTCGTTCTAGCTCTGTAGATCCAGCTGCCTACTCGGTACCTCAATTTGGATGTTTCACAAATCCAAAGTTTATCTACAGTCACCCCAAAATTCCTCCAGGGGCAATCTCAGAAAATCAGACCACCTTCCACCCAGTTGCACCAACCAGAACCCACCTCCTCCTTCTCAACCATCACAAAAATCTCCAATTTCTGCAGAGCCAACCTCCTCAATATCTCTCTTCTCTCCAACCTCACTCCCCTGGCTCCCCACCCACAGGTTGAGCTAAGCCATCTTTTGTCCGCACCACTGTCGTGGCCTCCCTCTCCCCTTGTAGACTCTTACATCCCATCATTCCTTCACAAGGCAGCAAAGGGGATCTAATGATGCCACTTCAGTGCTTAAAGCCCTTAAATGCTTTCCCAAAGTCCAAAATATCTTACAAGATTCAATGGTCTGCTCTGGCCCCCACCTCTACCTCTTTCACTTGTTTAAAGCAATTTACAATAACTAAGTACCTGGCAGTTAAACGGTACCCAGACTGTCTACTTACTGAAGGAAAAAGAGAAGGATTTGGGAGTCTGAGGATCAGGGTTCAAATCCAGGTGCAGGGACTCATCAGAAGTGTAACCTCCTGCAGGATACTTTACTAAGCATTTCACCATGAACTGATGATGATTCCGCCCAGCCAGTCAGGGTACTTTTAATTTTTAATTTCAATTTTTGTGAGAATCCAAGTCATCATGCCTATGAAAGCATTTTCTTTCTGTAAGTAGGTAATATACAGGTGACTACTACAGATAGCTGATGAGATTATAGATTTCTTGAAAAGTATGTCAGCCCTGAGATTACACTTCATTTATCTTAATAGGAGTTGATAGATCTCATCAGAGCTGATTTACAAAACACCTCCTTGGGGCTTCATTTGATGATTACTTCATCACATAGATCTCATGGGTGCCTGTGGCTCTGTAGGCGAGTTGTAATCATCATTTACATATAATGGGGAACCTATACTTTTGCTTTCCTTTCTTTTAGATGGCTTGGTTGGGTGAGGTCCCTGCATTACCAGTTTTTGGAGATGGAACAAATGTAATTCCAGCAATTCATGTTCTTGATCTAGCAGGGTAAGTATTCTCCCAGAGAGTCAACTGCCCCAGAATTCATGGACTAATATGTGTGTTTATAAGTGGACATTTATGGAGCACTTACCAAGTGCTAAGATCCTTCATGTAATATTGCACTTGTTCTTCACAGCAACCCAATGCAGAAGGTACTGTTATTATCTCCATTTTGCATTTGCTGAAACAGCGTCCACCATCTAAAAGCTCCGTGCTTCCAATGACAACTTCAGGTTCATCTTTTAGAAACTTTATCAGCAGAATAGCATGTTTTCCAATTCTGGAAAAGAATGAACTTGTTATGTTCATCCTGGGGACCTAGTTTCTTATTTTTATGTCTCAGATGCAATTGCTCTATCCAGCCCACCAACTTAAATTCCAGAAATTACACTGCAAACTCTAAAGCTGAAGTGTTTTTGTTTTGTTTTTGTTTGGTTTGGTTTTTTGTTTTGGCAGCTGTAGGTAAAATTGGCACATGGTTTTCACACTCACAGTGTATCCTAACTCTTTCAGACACACTGAGCACCCTCTCCTTTGCAGAGGAGAGCACCCTCTCCTCCCCTGCTTAAACACTAGGTTGAAGAAACGGCTCACTTGCTTGGAAGTTCATCAGTTCTACATTTTGGGTTCCAGGGGCTTTATTCTACCACCCCCTTCTGCGCCCCACTGGAGGGAGCAGTGTCAGCTCTTCCCTGAGATTCTGGTTTCTAGATTCCACGCTTCCTCTCATCCACTGACCACTAGTGAATTGGCCACAGTCCCAGAGGGATTTACAGACTTACTGGGAAATAATGCTGCTCAAACTTCAGGACCCCTCCTCAGGCGTGGGTCTCTTCCAAGGCCCTAAAGTTCATTTTTATTATTTTTCTTAAAAAAAGAATCCCCTGAATTGTAGAAGCTTCAGGCTCCATGCAAAACCTAGGTTTGTTCCAACATTTACTCTGGATGTGGAGGGGCTGAACTGTGCCCTTTTCTGCAGAGACCTTACATCATGACGTTATCAGTTTTTAAAGATGTGAGAGAATATTTTACATTATGAAAACAAAAAGCATAGCATTAGTCCTTAATATCTTACTTCCAGACATTAGAGAGTTAAATTCTTCCCACTACAGGACTCAGGGCCCCTTTCAGTAGCATCTTTTCCTAGAGGTTTCCTTGAAGATTGTAAAATATTTAACAAAGGAAGAAACTAAAGGATGAAGTGGTCTGAAAATTTAATATAAAATAAATGGGAAATGGACATTTAGATGTGCGTATTCGTTTTATTTTTATTTTACTGAAAAAGAAGTTGAAATGGAGGTAGAATTGACAGGCTTGCGATAGGCTTCTATTCTATTGTGTCTCTTTGGGATTCTTTCATTTATGGTCCAATCCTTACTCTGTCTGTCTCTCATCAGCTGTGTGAATCTGGGAATGTTACTTAACCTCTCTGTGTCTGATCTTCTCATTTGTGAGAGGAAGATAATAATAGTCCCTACTTGATAGGATTGTTGTGAGAATTCAATGGGATGGCACTTGGAAAGCCCATAGCCCGGCCTCCACAGAGTTCAACACCCAGAAATGTTGGTGATCCTTGTTAATCCAGGGTAGAAACCCTTAGGTCCAGTCCCTAGAGCTATGTGACTCCCTTAAGAAAGCCAGAACTTCTCAGACTCTCTGTCTGCCTTGTGAAACATGTACTCCAAAGCCCTGCCACTTAAAGGAGCGTCTGAGTGGGCAGACTTTATCAAGGGTAGTCCTGTGGGATCAGGTGCTTCCCTGAAGTACACCAGCCGGATCTGGAGCTGGCTGGACCTGGCTTCAAACCCTGGAGCCCCTCAGCCAGAGAAATGCCACTTACCCCTGTCCCAGCTTGCTCAGCCATAGCACACATCATCATCCCACCCCTGACCTTGTCAGAAACGAAGTGAGATCGCTTCCTAAAGCACCGAGGTCCGTGGCGACTGGCCCTGGAGCGGGGGCGGGGAGGGGGGTTGGGGGTGGTCAGTGAGGTCTAGCTCACTGTTTCTCTTTGGCTTTTTCCCTCTTCTGATGATTGTCCCCATTGGTCTGCAGAGTGATACAAAATGTAATAGACCACGTGCCGAAGCTCCGTTACCTGGTTGCCGTAGACGAGTCTGTCCATACCCTGGAAGACTTAGTCAAGGTACAGCCATTTCCCCCCGTATTTGGTGGCCCTTCTTGAATCGTTTAACCCCTAAAATGTAATTATGAAATCAGGTGTGCTAACAAGATGGGGTGGGGGGGGCTCCTAAAGTAGAATATCCTTAAAACCAAACTCACCATCTGCATTTGCAGTGTATGTATTGGGAGGTGACAACCAAAATGGACCTTTCGCCAGTAACTGCATGGAAGATGGCAGGAAAGGCCACTGCAGATCACACACACAGATCACTCACTGGAACACGAAAATGTGTCTGTGGACACTTGCCTCATTGTACTGGTATAGTCAGGTTCTCCAAACCTGCTGGTGGCTTTCAGAAGCTCTGGGTCTCTGAGGCTTCCGTCTCGAGTCCAGAGTCCCCTTGGAGCCCAGCTAGCCTTCTCCTGCCCTGGCCACTCGCACTCATCTTTAAGATTCAGCTCAGGTGTCTTCCTCTGCACCTTCCTGCCTCCTTCCCTCCTCCCGAACAGGCCAGATGTTTCTTCCATACTCCCAGCATCCCCTTTGCAAGCTGCAAACATTACACATCTGTATACACACGTCTGCCTCCCTTTTCAGACTGGGAGCTCCTTGAGGGCAGGAATTGGGCCTTTCTCTTCTCTCTCTCTCCAGTCCCTGGCTTGCAGTGGTGAACATCAAATATGTGTAGAACAAATAAATGAATGAATACCTGCAGGGCCGTCCCCTCTGTTTTGCAAATTTTTTTTTGTATTCAGTGATGTTTTACATTCATTTGGGAACTTTTATATTTAAAATCTTGCAGGTAAACCAAGTAACATTTCTATTTTTCTCTAACAGTGCATCAGCAAACATACTGGCCCTGGGAAAATCCAGAAAGTGCCCAAAGAAAATGCTTTCCTAACCAAGGACTTGACAGTTAGTATAAAAGAGATTCTTTTTTTTTTTTCCTACCCTTTTCCTAAACATAGTGGTTCTTGAGGGATTTGGAGTCAGAATGCTTGGCTTCCAAGCTCATGTCAGTTCCTGAGCTGTCCACCCTAAAACAACTCCCTCTTGTCTTTTCTGAAAAACCCTCCGAGATCGTGGTCAGGATACATATATGAAAGCTGTCTGATATGTGAAATGCTACCCAAGCACTGGGTGCCATTATGTTCGGCCTTTTCTAAAATTTGAACAGGAGGCTGAATTCTGAATCCATCACAACAAAAACCAATTCTGTGTTTGTTAGTCATGCCATGTGTTCTCCCAGCTAGCTGTAGGATGTAACTTTTTTTTAGGAATAAACTGGTCAGAACACTGCATTTGAGAATGTTTCCAGAAGAACTGTTATCATTGGTTACCTCTGAGCAGCAGAGCTGGGTGGGTGGCAGCGATGGACGTCAAAGGGAGCGTTTTCATCTATGCTTTTTGTCCCCTTGGATTTTGAACCGCACTATTCAAAAAGTAGACACAATTTTAAAATTTTAGGAAGAAACCTCACACTGGGACTTGTGGTATCTTTTTACCCTTTGAGCTGCTTGTGTAACTACAGGAGTCAGGATGACCACTGCTCATCACGAGAGAGCAGAGGTGGGCAGAGATTAGAAGGATCAAAGAGTATCAGAGCAGGCGACACTTGGTGCTGCATTATTTGACTTGCATGATTAGTGAACGTATATATATTTTCTCTAACAACTGCGGTGGGAGCATTTGAGGTCTTGCTTCCTGGCATTGTTATCAGTTTGGCTCAAAAAAAAACAACAACAAAAAAAACTTAAATAAATTCATATAAAATTAAAAAAAAATAACTGCAGTGATTTGGGTCTGTTATAACTGTCAAGACTTAAAAAGAGAGAGACAAATTTCTAATGTGCCTTTTTCTCTTAGCAAGAGAATATTGACCATTTACTGGTCAACTTGAGAATGGAAACCCTGTTTGTGAAGGAGAATTTTAACATTCGATGGGTTGCCCAATCAGGATTTGTGGAAAATATCAACAGTATCCTCAAAGAGTACAAGCAAAACCGAGGATTATTGGTAACTATAAGCATTCATTCCCTGTTTCAACTCTGATTTATGCAAAGTAAATGAAACTTTCAGTGTAATTGTATCAATGAAAGTATTTCCTTTCTGAAATGTCCAAATTTCTATATTCAAGTCCCTTTTCAGATACGACCCATTTTTTCGGGTCTGACAATCTACACGTATATTTTGTTAATACTGTCAACCGAATGTTAAAAATTTTAAGTTAATGTAGATAATGACTGTCATGCTTGACACACATTGAACGTAATAGTAAGCTCAAGACTGGTTGTCACAGAGTTGTCTATATAAGGAGAAAAATCAGGTGCCTCACTGGTCTGCCTGTTTCAGCCGTGGGAACACATATGGGAAAGAGTAGGGAGGAGATGGAAGAAGTCTGATTATTACTTTGATTGTATTGGCTGGGAGATTTGCTGGTCATTTTAATCATCACAACTTTTCGAGGTAGATGTTCTTATCTCCATATTATAGATGTGGAAACCAAAGCTCAGAGAGATGGAGCAATTTCTTCAAGGTCACACAGCTAGTTAGGGATTCAAACAAGCTAGGATGCAAACTTAGCAAGAATGGCCTAAGCCCCTCTCTGCAATCAGGTAAATGTAGCACTGGCCCAGACCTTTGGATCTGTTCCACAGAAGCAGTCCAAAGACAGAACTGGGTAAGATGTGAGAAAATGGTTTGGAAACTGTAGATTGCATCTGAGTAACAGGTGCCGTCATAATTATAATCACTACTGTGCGTGGGAAACTTTCAGGCAACAAGTATGATATCGCCATTGTATCCTAAGAACCATATTCTCCTGAAAAACATGCCTGGTGAAGAATAAGTAAAAGATGTACCGTATTTGCCGGCGTATAAGACGATTTTTTGGCCCTGAAAAATATGCCTCCAAGTGGGGGGTCGTCTTATACGCCAGGTACACTTCAGATAGACTGCCCATAGTGCTTGCCCCGTGCCATAGTGGCCTCCCGATGCGCCCACTTCATTCCACATACCGTTCAGGCATCAGCAGCGCTGCTGGGTGTATGCTCGGCTGTTATGCGATTTTGCTGTTATGCGATTTTACCACACTCGCAAAATCGCACACAGCCGACCATACACCCAGTATGATAGCGCAAAATCGCGAATCGCGATACCATACTGGGTGTATGGTCGGCTGTGTGCGATTTTGTGAGTGTGGTAAATTCGGGTTACCGTATATTTCTTTACATATGCATTGAAGATTCGCGATTTTGCGCTATCATGGTGCCTGTTAGAATGTTGAAGAGCTCGCACTTGCACACTAGTGAGGTCCCAGGGAGATGCTGATGCAAGGGTGGACCAGACTGCTATAGTGACAGGGCGGGCAAACAGGGAGCAGGGACCAATCAAATCAGGCTTTGTATACAGCCAACAGCCAACCACAATACTGCACCATTGTACAGTACAGCATAGAAAATGTCGACCAGTCAAACCCCTATCATCCCTATCATGGCACCAGCCAAAAGAAAGAAGTATGATGCAAATTTTAAACTGAAAGTTATAAACTTTGCTAAGGAAAAGAATAATTGTGCTGCTGCAAGACAACATGGAGTAACAGAAAAGATGGTTCGGGACTGGAAATCAAATGAGAAAGCATTAAAGAGTATGCCAAGGGGTAAGTGTGCATTAAGAAGAGGCACCCCACACTGGCCAGAACTCGAAAAACATGTAGCAGACATGGTGGCTCAACATCGCCAAAACGGTTATGTGGTGACACGAAATACAATACGCTTGTTTGCACTTCAGTGGGCCAAATCAAATCTGATATTGTTTTACCTTTTATTTGGTGTGTGGAAGGTGTGCGGAAGAGGGGGTAGTCTTATACGGCGAGTATATAACAAACTCTGTATTTTGAGTGGAAATGTTAGGGGGTCGTCTTATACGCCCAGTCGTCTTATACGCCGGCAAATACGGTACCGCTCAGCAAAAGAAACAACGACCTGTCCAAGCACCTGAGAAACTCATGGTGGCTGGACTTGGAGACTCTTTTGAGGCACACACCCACCCAGCTCAAGAGGTTAGACTAGTGTTTTCCTCTGGGAGTCAGCTGTAAAGATGAAAAGACCATATGGTCCCTGATGAGCAAGACTGGACAAGACTGTGGTAGAAGGAATGAGCATATCTAAAAATGTACCAGCTTATCCACCCCTGAGGGCATTGCTCGGCATAGCAGATAGAAGAGGAAACACAAGTGGGCCATGTAGGCAGTGGCGTCCACAAAGATGAAGCGTCAAGCCCAGGGCTTCCACGATATCCCAGTCCCTTTCGCAAAGCAAAGCCGTCGTAGCTGCAGAGATGGGGGCATCAGTCCACCTTGACCTGATGGCAACGCACGGTCCCTTCATCTGTCTTGCCTTGTTCTGATCAAAGCTCATCAGGCGGCCTGCCGTGCTTGTCTGCCCTGACGGAGTAAATGTACCATGTACGCTCAGAGTGCCCTGAGTTCAGTGGTACTCAGACTTCTCATTATAAATGAATACACCGCCATTCGGGTTTCTGCCTGGTTAAGGTGAGCTCATGGGTCTGCTTATTTCCTTCACAGCCTTGGTTTCCTTGTCTGACAAGTGGTGGTAATAACAATGATAACCAACCTCGTGGATGAAATTATGTAATCTTTAAGCACTGGACACGCTGCCAATGGGAATTCTTTTCATTCGCATGATTTAAAAACAAATTTTAAGTTAAAAATTCTTTAAATTTGCCTTGCAAAATACCGGGCTTCCATTTTACCACCATTTGGACCATTTTGAAAGAAATGACTACCGGTACTTGTTACTGATATTTTCGTTTCTGTTAGAAATAAACATTTACTCGTTGGTTATGAATGTGACAGAGCTTCTTTAACATGCAAGCACATTTTTCAGCAGAAGGAATGGCACTTGTTTTTTAATGAGTGTATTTTTTAAAACTGGAATTGTGTTAAAAAAAGAAAGGATAATTAAAGACCAAATTCAGTCCTGAAACTATATTCATGAGGCAATGCATTGAGCACTGTCTACCCCAGACCAAAAATTATTCTATTTCTTGGTTATCTTTACAAGAGTAATGCAGAAAGCGTGAAGCCGGTAGCATGTACTGCTCAAGTCCTTTTTTGGTTAGTACTTTTGAGGAATTCCTGAGCACATCTTGTTGAGTGTCTTATTCTCCGAGGCCAGACCAATGCATGCAGTAGGCGCTGATTAAATACCTTGAGGAAGTGACTGGCGTTTAGGTTTAGCCAACAGGACCCAGAGACTCAACAAGGCACAGCCCCAGAATAAAAAACACTGTGTCTAGCACCAGACTGCTCAAAGCTCGCTATATGATCCCTATTCTCCTCTTGCAGCCCATCAAAATATGCATTCTTGGTCCTCCTGCTGTGGGGAAATCCAGTGTGGCAGAGGTATTGTCCAAGCACTACAAACTACATCACGTTAAACTAAAGGACGTCATTTCCGAAGCCATAGCAAAACTGGTACCACTTTTAACTACTTTGTGGGGAATTTTAATGTTTGAAAAATGCTTTTCTTGGTCTTGTAATAAGGAAGCCGTTCATTTTACATGACATCCTACAAAGATATTTGTTAAGATTTTATTGTCGGCCCCCCCCTTAGGAAAACACCTGATTCCATGGGGCTTTCCTCTGTGAGATGCAAGCATCTTTCATGGGTTGCCCTTGAAATTCATTGGGTTGTTGGAAAAGTCATGACATATTTTTTCTATGTTTTTCATTGCAAAAATGCATCATGACTTTTCCAACATCCCAGTAGTCTGCCTCCTGCTGTTGCTCAAAATATATCTTGCATCCTCTCTGTTGACTGGAGAATTTTTAGTTTTTTAAAAAATTCCTGATCTATGTTTCTCAGGGTACTATCAGACTATTTATTAAGGATTTTTTTTAAGAAAGACTTTATTTTCTTAGAGCAACTTTAGGTTCACAGCAAAATTGAAAGTTCAGAGATTTCCCATATGTCCCCTACCCCTCCCATGCACAGCCGCCCCCATTACCATCATCCCCCCTCCAGAGTGATGCATTACAATCAATGAACTGACATTGACCTGTCATTGTCACCCAAAGTCCATAGCTTACTCTTGGTGCTGTACATTCTATGGGTTTGGACAAATGTATGATGACACATCACCATCATTACAGTATCATACAGTGAGTAGTTTCACTGCCCTAAACATCCTCTGTGCCCTGCCTTCCCTCTGTTAAATAACAAAATCCAGCCAAGTAAATTTAATTTAAAGCTCTAATTGGCTGTACTGAATGATTCATGAATCCCACAGCACCCTAGCAAGTGGAGAGTTGCTTTGAGAATTTGTGCACCATGGAAGGCTGTTTATAGGCAGAAATTGGGTGGGACAAGAAAGTTATCAGCAAAAAAAAAGGATTGTTTCTTTTCTTTGGAAGGAGGAGGTCAGGGGTTTTGTCAGCCAGATTGCCTCATTAGGGTTGATCATGAAATTCCAGAGTGATTGGTTTAAGGTCACATTCCAGAGAAGGGCTAAAACTGCAACTAAGTCTTGGAGTCTTGGTTTGCCGTCCTGTGGACAAGGGACTCTGCCCTGACCCTGTTGCTTCTTTTTTGTTTTTGTTTTTGTTTTTTAAGATTTTATTAGGGAATTGGAGAAGGGGAACAGCCAAGTTGTTGTCCTTCAGTCTTAGTTGTGGAGGGTGCTGCTGGCTAAGCTCCAAGTCCAGCTTGCCATCCGGCCACTCGTTGGCAGCTCGCAGCCGCTCAGCTCAAGGTGCCGTGTTCAATCTTAGCTGTGGGTGGGCATAGCCCACCATCCCATGTTGGAGTCAAATCAGCAACCTTGTTGTTAGGAGCATGTGTTCTAACCAGCTGAGCCATCCTGCCACCTGTGGCAGCTCAGCTTGGGCGCAGCTCACTGGCCCATGTGGGAATCGAACCGGTGACCCTGTTGCTCAGAGCTCGCACTCAACCAACTGAGCCACTCGGCCGTCCCTGTTGCTTCTTTTTTAAACACCTCTCTACCTCCAATCAACTTGTTTTTTAAGTCTTGATTTCTACAAAACATGTGTCCTTCAAGTAAGGTATTACCTGGAACCTAGAAAAGTGTTGATTCTTTTTTTAAAGATTTTATTGGGGAATTGCGGGAGGGGAAACAGCGCTGGGGAATTGGGGGAAGGGGAACAGACAAGTTGCTGTCGTTTTGTTCTTCAGTCTAGTTGTGCAGGACATTGCTTCACTGGCCCGGTGACTAATGGCAGCCCAGCTCTAGGTTGAGCTGTTGTTCACCATCTTAGCTGTAGAGGGCGCAGCATCACTGGTCCATGTGGGATCCGAACCAAGCCCAGCTCTTAACCAACGCGCCACTCGGTCGGCCCTAAAAGTGTTGATTCTTAAGCAGTTCTGGCATCAGCACAGAAATAGATGATTCTCCTAAAATAGAGCAAGAAAAATCTCAAGGCTCCCATCCATCGTGGCAGGTGCACACAGCCTGACTTTTGTAGGCCGCCTGTCCTGTGGGTGGAGTGCATTCCCGACTTGGGTGCCAGCCTTTCCTAGCACCACTTGGCAGGTGATTCGTGAGTAGCTAATCAGTACAGGGCATCATCCAATTGGAATATCCTTGTGGTCTGCAGGAGGCCATCGTGGCACCTAAAGATGGAGGGCAAGGAGAAGAAGGTGAAGAGGAGGAAGAGGAGAGTATGGAGAATGTGGACGACGCACAGGAGCTCTTGGATGACGTCAAGGAAAGCATGGAGCAGAACGCAGGTAACACACAGAGCACAGGGTTGCACTGGTCCTGTTAAGTGTTTTTGGTTTTTTTTTTCCAGGTAAACAGCACAACATTTTTATAACAACCACAAGAAATTTCACTTATAATCTCACCCACCAGGGAAAAAAAAGCCCCTTTAACATCTTAGTGATTGATCATAAGCTCTACCTAAGTTAAAAAAAAAAAAAGATCAAATGTGTAGTCATATTTTATAAGCATCAAAAATACTTAATTAAAAGGTAATGGACACACCAGGAAAAAATATTTGCCACCACTGTGACAAAGTTAATATCCTTAATACATAAAACGCTCAGGCAAACTAATAAGGAAATCATTAAAATCTTACTATAGAAAAAAAAATCGATGAATAACATATACCCATAATTCATGCAGGACGAAATGCCAATAAATGGGAAAATATTCTTACTCGTGTCAACATAAGAAACATCCAAACCTGTAGAGAATTTTTATTAGAGTTTATTTGAGCCAAACTGATGACGTATCCCAGGGAGCAAGATCTCAAATGCTTCCGAGAATAACACTTTTGCACCTTCTTTTATGCATTTGAGATTAAGGTAGGGACATAAGGAAGATGGCATGGAGGTGGGAGGAAGCAAGGAGGGGATCAGGTTACAGGACAGGTAACCAGATTATGTGCTCTCTTGGGGGTTAATACCCCCTTCAGGGGTGTTGCTTCTGCTATTTCAAAGGTGAGTGAACCTGGATGCACAAGAACCATGGACAAGGCTTGCTTAACACCTTTCAGTAAAGAAGTTCTAGGCCTGGGGTGTGACTCCCCACCATGACCCGTCCAGGTAGGAATTTATGATCAGATCATCCTTTTTTTCGTCCATACTCACTTGGTAAATTTAACCAGTTTGTTGAACAAACTCATCCTAGTAAATTGTCACTGTAAACCCCGACTCTGGAATCCTTCTCTCCCCACCCTGGGATGGAATCTCAGGCTCGGCCCACTGCAACTCCTAGATGATGAGTAAGTAGCCTCATGGTTTAGTCATGCTTTAAGAAGTCCAATCAAATAATCACAAACTAGGTTTTGAACTGAGATGTTTCTAAAGGAGCTTACTACCCAGCAGGAAAACAGTCTGCCAGCAGTTACTAAAAAAATGAAAACATTTCATTTTTATCCTTAGACAGTTGAGATCCTCCACCAAACTGGTTATACTAGTATTGCCTAGAGACCAGTCCAGTGTGTAATCAACATTTGGACTTTCATCCAATAGTTTCTCCCCTCACCCTCCTAGCGAGCATGATTGGTTTCTTCACTCCGCTTCTTCCTTCTGGCTGGTGGCTGTTTCTGATCCTCCAGGCTTGGTCTGGGTAAACTGGCCCTGGGTGACAGAGACGTGGCCACTGAGGACCTTGCCCTGAGGACTGCCCACTGCGGGCCCCTGAAATGCTGCTCTTTTTTATTTGTTTTTTAGCTGAGCCATCCTGCTACCTGTTGGCAGCTTAGCGGCCGCTCAGCTCAGGCCAGGAATCAAACCGGTGACCCTGTTGCTCAGAGCTCGCACTCTTGAGTGCACTCTTAACCAACTGAGCCACTCAGCAGGCCCGGGAAGTGCTGCTCTTGACGACCCTTCCAACCTCCGGTCTCTGGCCCCCACCCTATGCCCCTCAGGGCGGTCCTCTTCCCAGCCACCATCTTCAAGGACTCTGATCCCTCTCCACCTTACTCTGAAGTCCAGGCCACCCTCTCCCTCCTCCCCTCCTCCCCGAGGCCACACCAATCTGGTTTTCCTGGGGTGGGGTTGGGGGGTAGGGGGTGGGAGAGAATGGTTTTGTTTGCATACACTGAGCATCTACGTAAACCAGCTGATGGTGAGTCTTGCTGTCTGCTTTGGTGTGGACACGGCCGGGAGGAAATGCAATTTAGAGTCCTAGAGAGGTCTCCTAAAGGAAAAGGAAAAGGTGCCCAGAGAAAACACAGATTAATTTCTTTGAGCTAGTACACTGCCTCTGCCTCAACCATGAGACATTGGGGGCCACTCTTCTGGTTTAGAGTCTAACAGAGTACTGCTACCATCATTTGAGGGAGGGGAAGAAAACGAGGATAAGACAGTCCATTGTGAGGATACCTGTAGAAGGAAATCTGGTCCGGCCACACGAAAGTGTGGAGGAGGGGCATTTGAGGCCTAGTCTCCCCACACGCCATCAGTTTGGCTCGAATAAATGCTTGTAAAAATTCTATAAATAAATAAATAAATACATACATACATACATAAATAAGTAAAGGGTGGGGGACTGGGATTGTTAGGAATCCACAGGTGTGCATGGCCTTGTGTACATACACTTTAAGCCGGAAAGAGGGTGCGGGGGGTGGGGTGGGGGGCAGTGAACAGTGCCGCCCCTAGAAGAGAGGCAAGAACCTCCAGCATTCAAGCTAACTGAACAAGACAAACACTGGACAGTCTTTACGGGCAGAGACTGTGATTGGTCTTTGCAACCACCCCAAAGTCTTATCCAAGGACTTCATGTAATGGGATGGTGTGAGGTACTGACTGGGCTCTTTCCATGCCCCGGGGAGGTGAACACATAGAATTATAGTAGAGACCCTGCCCAGCTGAGAGCGGTCACTGTGTCGTCCTCGCCCAAGCTCAGGAAGGGCCTGTCCTTGGAGGCAGCCTCTGTTCAGGAGCCTGTGTCAGGGGGGCCCTGGGAGGGAGCAGAGGAAGTGGTCTTTGGGGAAGGGGACGTCCTCAGAACAGCAAGCAGCACTCCCCTCCCGACTCCTCCTTTGGTATGCCCACCCACACACCCTCTTCCTACAAGACTGGCGACTGGAGTAGTTCACCAACCGCCTTTAACCTGAGGAAGGTGTTTTTTTTCTTCCTCACGTTTGTCCCCAAATCCTTCTTAGTCCTATTTACCAGAATCTAGAAAGTGGACCTTGACTATGATTGAACAAAACAAGACCTTTGAACCCCCTGCATGGGCCCACATAGAAATCTCACAGTACGAGGACGCAGAGGTGAGCTCATTTGTCCCTCATGACCCAGTTTGTTACCATAAGATTCTAATGATTCCAGTAAGACCTATTTCGCAATCCTGCAGTGAGGCACCTCTGTGTCTGCCCACAGTTCCACTCCCATGGGCCCCTGACAGGGAGGCTGAAATAGGGACTTCCTTAAACCACCAAGTGTGCTAGTTATAGATTCTTCGTGCTCCCTTTATGAATTTCCAAAGTGTTATAGAATTATTGAATCTAGTTGATGGAATGCTGAGTGATGGTTGGACTATTTAAACTATGTTTATGAATTTGAAAAAAAAAAAGTTGGGAGGAAAAACATGTCAATGTATCAACTTGACAGTGCCTATACTGTGCATGGATTACTTTAAAACGTTGGTATAATTTTTTTTGAGATTTTTGAGAGTTTTTCTTTGTTCTCCTAAGAGCTGTTCTCCCTCTAGCACTTAGCCCTTTGAAGGAAATGCACAATGTTCCTTCATGGCCATTCGTGGTGATGATATTTATAAGATTTGAAAGAATTGTTGAGTTTAGCAGTTTCTTATTTAAAAAAGAAAACACCTTAGTTGCAGCTGCCTATTTTTAAACAGTGTTTTAGTAATTATGAATATCAGTTACTATTAGCATTTGAAAGATAGACTTAAAATTAAAAAAATAAAAATAAAAAGCTGTGTGGTGTTTTAAAGGCTACCCAGTAGGGCTGTGCCCATTCATTTTAAAGCAGAAGTGACAGTTTTCTTCCAAGGAGCTCAACACTGGCCCTGGGTCTATCTATAGGCGGTCACAGCTCTCTAGAGAAACACACTTGGGCTTGGCCCTTTGTGTACTCACATTCCACAATGATCATAAATTTCCGGGAGGCCCTTTCTTGCATACTGAACACTTACTGTTAGAAGCAAACAGAAATGAACGGCAAAGCTCACTGCCTGAAATAAACCAAGGCATGCATGGAGGGGGACGGAAGCTGGGTTTCTGAGTCTGTGCCTTTGCCTTACCTAGCAAGCCTTTGAAAATTAAAAGTGTAGTGCTCAAACAGCACTCGTCTCTGAGTGTTAGTGAATCCCTTGATTTTTTTTTTTTAATTTGACTTTGTATCTTTGCACCACTGTGAACCTTACTGGAAAGTAATGTCAAATCACTTCAAGGAACTTCATTATGCTAAATAACACCTCTGGTTATTTTTGTCCCTGTCATAATATTTAAATTTCTGAAAGATGATTATTTTCTCAATCCGTTACTGCTTAATGATCCCTGTGACAAAGAAAGGTAGAAGAAAGAAAGGGGAGGTGTTTTGATGAGATCATTTTATTGTCATTGATAGAGTGATCAAAAGAGGCCAAAAACTATTCATTTTATCTTATAGACCCACCCATAAACTGGAAGTATTGTACTACTCTAGAAAAAGCTCCAGAGAGCAATTTCTCAAACTTGTCAAACTTACGTAAATGTAATGTATCCGTGCGGCAATGTAAGGGCAGCGTCTTGGACATGATAGCTGTTTAATAATTATGATGGAATGGTAATTGGACATTGCGATGGAGCTGCATCGTATTGTCTTTGTCGGGGAGGAAGAAACTTGCCTCTACCCCCTAGGTTCTCTCCACTGGTCTAATAATTAAATCTACGTGAGAGACAGATTCACAAGAGAAAATAACCCACTTTAATTATCTACATACGCATGGGAACCCCACATACATAAGAGAGTCAGAGACCCTGCATACATGAGGGGTTCAGAGACAAAAAGACAAAATGGGGTATATATATATATATATATATATATATATATATATATATATGACATTCGGAGCTAAGGATGAGGTAAATTGCCTTCCTTCAAGAGGGAGGAAGGTCATTCACAGGACGATAAGAGCAGATGCTCAGTAATTAGTGGTTTGCCCTGCCATATAAATTGGTAAAAACAAACAAACAAACAAACAAAAAAACCAGTTATTTCTGGTGAGAACCCTTATGATGGGCAAGGCTCCTAATTTAAATTCTTTAAGGGAGAGAAGGTAAAAGTTTCTCATGAGCCTGCAGGGTCTTGATTGTCTTCAGCTCAAAATAGTTCACAGGTCAAAGTGGCACATTTTGGGGAGGCCTGAGTGAATTCCTACATCTTTAACCACCTACATCTTTGCCACTTTTAGGACAAACCACCTCCTCAGCCTCCCCAAGCAATTGCAAGAGGCTTCAGAGGGGACTGTCCAGTGGGGCCAAGGTCAGAAAAGCAGGCCAGCTGGGGAAGACAAGGAGAAGGGCAGGACCACGTTCTCTCTTGCAGCTTTAAAGACATCAGTGCTTTTGAGGGTCAGATCAAGCTTGCTTTTTCTTCAAATGCAGCAGCAAACGTTTATGGAGCACCAGCTATTAATAAATTGTGTGCCAGCAATGTACATGAATACCACTCACTTCATTTACACAACCGAAGCACTTATCATTGTGTATTAAGGTTATAGAGGTGTAATATCAAAAGAGAATTCAGTAAACCCTACTGTTAAGTAAGAACATTCTAGATTCCTCCACTTACTCTGCTTTCAACTTCACCCAAAAGCTGCGACCACAAAAGACATCCTGGAAGGGCAGACATCAACATTTGCTTCTGTCCTTCCTTGGAGACAACTCCTGAGGTGCTCCTACTTGGGTGTGCGCTAGAATTCGTGTGTCATGTTTCAAATACAAAACCACATGGTTTTCACTTTGATGGAAAAATAAGGGATTTTCAGTGGTAACTCTGATTATGCAACAATTTTTAAGATGACTTTACGATGTACCCTGTTTCCCCAAAAATAAGACCTAGCTGGAAAATAAGCCCTCGCATGGTTTTAGGTGCCAAAATATGGCACCTGGGCATACTGAATATTTAAGCTGAAGGAGTTTGTGGAAAAGGCATCCTTCTCCCTGAAACAGGTCATAAAACCCTCATGTGAGGGGTGCGTGTCCTCCATATCCTGGAGGGATCATGCTACGGCTTCTTCTCTGGCTAGGTCTTATTTTCGGGGAAATATGGTAACTCCTATGTACAATGTGATTCCATGGCTATATATATATATATATATTTTTTTTTTTTAATTAGGCCGTCTGGAAGATCAATATGTGATTAGATTTGTAAGAGAAAAACTAAAATCGATGCCTTGCAGGAATCAAGGGTACATTTTGGATGGATTCCCAAAGACTTATGATCAAGCCAAAGACCTGTTCAACCGTAAGTTTGAGTGATCCTTGTATTTTGAGCATTTACTTTCAGATAAGTTGCAACTTTACTGTTCAGAGTAATAATCACTTGATTAAAATAAACAAAAAATCAGAGGGACTATGTTGGAAACACATGCTTTCCCATTTATGGCTAGTTTTTCTTAGTGACTGCTACTTAAAATATTTTAATTTTTTGAGCTATACAGAGTAATACTATGTATAATAAACATGACGATGTATATTTTGCTTTATTAGAAGAAGACGAGGAGGAGGAGGAAGAAGTCAGAGGCAAAATGCTTCCCTTTGATAAGTTAACCATACCTGGTAAGTTTAAAATATGTCTCCAAGGTCGTGTTTAAAGGAATGCCACTTGATATCTCTTTGTACCAAAGCAATCTTTTTGAATTTAATAAGGCAGTCTTTTTTTTCCCCAGGAAAAAAGTCAAACGATACAATTAAAATCAAACTTTCGAACTAAAGAATGCATTGGGGGTAAATATCAGGGATGTTAAGGTTCCTTGAGAGATGTTCCTTTCTGCTGCCCTCGCCTGTAACAAATCAAAAGGCCCATCTGGTGATGCTCTGATCTGTGTCAGTTGGCAAGACCGCCAGGGACGGGATCACTGCCGTTCCTACCAGCTTCAGGTGCCAGCCATGCCATCACCTTCCCCAGAAAGCAGTCAGAATCCAGAGCTGAGTCAGGGCAGGTAAAAAGCTTTTCCATTCACTGTGAACTCCACGGCAAGCTTATTCTATCACACGTCAACATCGGGATTTCACAATGTACCCTTGAAAGAGAAGCATAAACAACTTACTGCACAAAAAAGAATTGCTGAGTAACTACCAGGCATTTCTTATGCCCTTGCCATGAACTTTAGAAGTTTCTCTGTCTCTCTCTCTCTCTCTCTCTCTCTCTCTCTCTCTCTCTCTCTCTCTCTGTTTTTTTTTAATCAGTTTGCGTGAGGTGTAATCATAGGAGATAATTTTTGGTCAGGTGGTAAATACGAGAACAGCTATTTTCAGCAACGTAACTATCAAAGGTTGTGTCAGGGAAGGGGAGGACCACCTCCCCCCACCTCCTACCCTTCATTAATTCTTACAGCTGGACTAATAAGAAGATAATAAAATTGACGTGACTAGATTAACAAGAGAAAAACCAACTTAATATGTGTGCACAAGAAAATCATAAGATGCTCAAATCATAAAATGAGGCTCAAAGAAATGATCAAACCAGGCACTCTTTTATATTTTTTAGACAAAGAAACAATACATTTGTGAGAAATTGGCAGAAAAAAGAAAAACAGTGCTCATTAGAAAGGAATATAAGCAAATCTGGGGTATTCCTTAGTCAGGAATCTACCCAAAGTTTGGGATTGGGTAGTAAATTGGGAAAGGCCTTACAACGCTTATTTAGACACGCTTTCTCCTCTAAATTTTGTGGTAAGGTTGCCTCTTGGCCCTCAGGGGCAGGGAAGTCACCTGTCACATGGGAGATTTATCTCCCGCTTTTAGGGGGATAGAGAGGTCAGGGTTTTCTTCTTGCACGGGCAGTTCCTTAAGTAACTTTAATTCAAAATAATCAACATGCCACAGTGAGATACCTTGGGGCTGCCTGCCCCGGGTGCCAACACTTGTAACTCAAAAGGTCCTGCTCACTTGTGTCAAAGTCCCTAAGAAAGTCGGTTCATGGCTGTAATCATCTCCTCATCTTGGTCCAGGCACAGCTTGCAGTGAAGCTTATGGAAGCACTGAGACCGCCAGCAAGCTGTCATCCTCAGGGGCAGAGGTTTATCGTTTGCCTGAGGGCTCTGAAACCGGTGGCAGGAACGTGGAGGAAGGCCAAAGGGATAGGTGGTCTCAGATTTTCCATTTATTTATGTATTTGCTCAGAAAAAGTTCCAAAGCAAAGTCGATTACTCTAAATAACCAGGTCTGTCCAGTTTCTAAGAGTTTATCACTTGCGGGCAATATTCATCTCGCCAATGCATAAATCCCGGGGGTGCCAAAAAAAACGGATACAAGTGGATACTTTGGTCAATGTTGCTCAAGCAGTAGTTCATCGTAATCAGAAGTGTCTGGAAACTGATGGTCACCACTTTGAGCACCTCTTGTCATTGCAGAAGTCAAATGCAACTTGTATTTATCTTTTGTTATTGGTATATATTGAATATTACAATTTTAATAGTTTTTTCCTTTCTTAAAATGTGTATACATATTTTTGGCACCCTCTGTAGATAAAATTCAGCTCAACTAACCATTTGTCACACGAGGTATGAGCTCAGTGGATGTTTCCACAATCCTCCAAGGCAGAAATTGCTCCCACCTTTACCCCTGCCAGAAGCTAAAACCCAGAGATTTATCCAAGTTCACCGCGCTGGTGAACGGGAGGGCTGAAAATCAAACCCGGGTCTTCTCACTCCACTGCCTCCAAAAAGCGAGTGAATGAACCCCCTCCCTAAGACAAGGAAATGGAAACACAGAGGGAAAATGATGAGTGATTCTGAATCATGGTCACTGGGCTACCCTCTCTTTGTTGGACGCAGTCCAAACGCATCTCAGATACAATCTACTTGGAATGTTTAGTATGTTCTTAGTAAATTACTCTCCTTCCAGAAATTGTCATTATTTTCTATGTTCCTAAAAGAAATTAGAGAATTGTCTCATTTGTACCCGTAGGACTTTAATTTATGGAGGTGACCGAGTGACAACACGGGAGGCTAATGCCATTGAAACAAGAATTTATTACTCATCTATCCCCAGAGAAGGGGATGTGCCGGACCACATGGGGAAGTCCCGGGCTTAGTCAGGAGGCCCAAGCAGGCGACTGGGGACAGTCTAGGACATGGCCTTTTGGGGGGTTTCCATGGGAAAGGCAAGGCAGGGCAGAGTGAACAGCTTTTTTCGAGGATTGGCTGTTTTGCATAATTTCTGTGGGCTCTGGTCTGTAGTTGGCTAGTATCAGGCCCTGAGATGATTTCAAGCAGGGAATATATTGTACTGGTGTGTGTGTTATGTAAAAGGGGTGGTTGGCTTGCATAGGAGAAGCTTGCTCTCATGTAAGTTGTTACTTATCTTTAGGAGCTGGCTAGCTAGGTGAGGGGCAGCCTCCCCTGTCCAGGTCTGTAAGGCCCCCTCAAGATGTCACAGGACCATCAGATACAGAAAATGGCATGATTACTACAAGCCTCCATGCTTGATTTGAGTGCTAAAACATTTGGATCTATGGTAATCCAGTCCTGGGCGGTAAATCATTGTGTTTTACCTCTGCTGTTAGCCTCTCTTCAGTTTGATTCTTTTCAGATCTCCTAGATGAAGGAGACACGTGTAAAGTTGCACCTGCCTGACATATATGGAAAAATGTGTTAAAACTTAGATTTTCACATGACTCCAGTTAGCCCAAAGCAGTGATCTCCTCGTTACGTCCACTTTTACCAAGAGGAAATCTAGTACTTGCTATCCCCAGTGAGCCAACTCAAGGGCAGGAGGCTTTCCGAGTAATTATCCCAAGATACCACAAAATCCTGAAGTTCTCTCTGAATCATAAAGGAGAAAGGACTTTTCAAAATATACCATCTAGTGGAAAATATATTGCATCATATTAAAATTCTTCGAAAGTGAGAAGGCAGGTAATGTCACTTATTATTCACAATATGCAATTCACTGGAATCTTCCATCTTCTAATCACGGGGGGAAAAAAGGTATGGTGTTACCTTTTGAGATTCTTAGATTATTCACAGCATTACTAGAATAATTTTTGAACTAGATATCTGACATCACGGAGCCTAAATAGATTAAGTCTCCAGTGAATGTATTAATATAATTTCAAGTTAAGTACTATACCAGCATCTGGGGTCTGGCTGTCCCCTTTCCTTTTCAAAACATACAAGTAGCTACACATGAAAATCAGGTGGTCAGAGATGAGCGTCTAAATTGAGTTAGGTAAGAATCATGGTGGTAGCAGACTGTGGTTATGAGTTTATAGGAATACTCCACAAACTCTGTCCTCAGCCTTTTTTTTTTTTTACTATTAACACACGAAGCAGACAATGTTCACACGTGGTCCATACACCCTGCTCTGGGCTTTGCACTTACACTAACTTTTCTCGCTCAGTCAAGAAAGCTTATTAGAAGGCAATTAAATGAGAAGGACACGATGATGTGGCAAACGAATACAGTCTTTGAGTAAAAATTACATCATCCCCATGCTTCACCAGGCTCTCACAGGTAGCTAGTTATGTGTGACGCACCTGGCTGCTTACCCAGGAACCCGTGTACTCTGGTCCTGTTGAGGACATCTGAGAATAGTAACTCACCTGGAAAGTTTGCTTCACTGACCTGCACTTTAATCACTCATTCAGTCGTTCGCTCAACAAATATGCATTGGACTTGTACTAGAAGCTGGAGAGCAACTGCTTTCTTAGTTTAAAAGGAAATCACAGGTGGGTAAAATGACATCATCATGAACATGACCTGTGTGTCAAACCTTAGGTACGCACTGACCGTGTTGTGCTGGATACAGGTGTTTCATAGCCAGTGGCATGAAGGGAGGAAAGTGCTGGATGCATAGAGAAGTAAAAACTAAAGAGGAGTCCCCATTTTTATTAATAATTTGGCAAACCAGCTATCAAAGCATTTCGCTTGTAGCCATGAGTCTTTTTGGGGATTGACTGGGAAGCTGACGATAGATACCAGAGGGTTATTAAAGATTTGCTATTTACAATTTCTGCTGCTTTTATTAAAAGAAGGAAGGGAGGGAGGGAAAGAAAAACAATAGATCCTACGAATGAATACCACCTGGTTGGGCTCAGAGGGTGGTCTCTGGAAAAGTGGTGATTTGCATGTATTTAACCTCCTGGAGGCAACAAGAAAGCCAATTGTCAGGCTATTTGCAGCACCAGGACGTCTGGGCTGATACCAGACATTTGGGTAAGTGGTGGTCATCCACCAGCACCTGCTGGCTATCTCCACTGCCACGGGGTTAACTCAGGAGCCTGTCCTTCTGCCCAGAATTCGTCTGTGCGCTGGACGCCTCGGATGAGTTCCTGAAGGAGCGGGTGATAAATCTTCCCGAGAGATTTGTGGCGGAAACCCACTACAGCCAGGACCGGTTCCTCCGGGCTCTGAGCAACTACCGGGACATCAATACCGAAGATGAGACTGTCTTCAACTACTTTGATGAACTTGAAATCCACCCGATACATATAGGTATGAGATGAACTCAAGGATAACGTGAAAGTGGAGAGCCACTGCCAAGCGTCGCCCCTCTGCCCACCCAACACACACACACTGGCCAACCCCAGTGCAAGTCTACAGTCGGGCTGGGGGAGGACCAACAGCGAAGTACAACTAGATGCTGGGGTGGGGGTGGGAAGTCACGGGATAAACCTCTCCTGGGGAGTCGCCTGGCCTGAGGATTTGGTGGTGGGGAGACGCTGTTATATGAAAACATGGATATATTATGAAGTGGAATGCCAAACTGGCATTTTTTAAAAGGGCACTTCAAAGAAATGTGTGTGTGCTGCTTTGGGCCATGCCCCAGCTTCCTTGGGAGCAGCGTTCCTTCCCCGTAACTTTGTGGGGCACTCGTGCTCTTCACAGAGCCCCTTTTGGTCTTTAGACCGGCCCACTGACCCCCATAGCTACTCAGGGAAGCAAATATCTCCTTAGTGCATTTCTCTGGGTTTCCTCTAAACACTGTGCTCAGAGCTTAGCTCACAGCAGGCACACAGCAAATATGATCTCTCATTGTCCTCACCATCATCGCGACTGCTCCTGGCTCCACATCTCAGCTGCCATAGCCCGTTCCACTCCCCTTGGCTTGGGGAATCAAACTTCTTTCTGGTTTTCTGGATCTTGACACTTCTTTGTCCTCTGGGTTTCATGAGAAACCCCTAGCTTGGTGGAAGCTTAGTGGCCAGGCTCTCTCCATGGGCCTCCCTAGGCCTCTCTTGACTCCCAAGGGCCAGACGGGACAGCATTTGGACCCTAGAGAATTGGGAATCTTACCACTAATGTCATCAGGAGGCAGGAGAGCCGATTCCAGTTCTGGGTCTGCCTGCGTTTTCTCATCTGTGAAACAGGAAATAATCCCCGGCTTGTAGAGTCGTTCCCTGATGGTAGAGACAGGAAGTGTCTGGCACATTGAAGGAGTTCAATTTGTGCATGGTAATTTTGTTTTTACCACCAATACTAAGGCATAAAATGATGGCCTCCTAAGCAATAGAAAAAGCCACTACTTACAAATCTGCAAATTCTTCTCTGGTTTGCACCCTCGGAAGTGACTGCGTTTTGCCCTCATCTCACTGTGTCCGTGCTAGTTTCATATGTTAACGCTAAGGCTTCGCCACCTACTAAGGTGGAAAGTCATTTACCCTACTTAATTAGAGAACTAGGAAACCATGGTGAGTAACTGTCATCTTTTCAGCAAAGCCCCAAATAAAGTATGTACGGGGAGATCAGGAGAGCCCCAGGGAGATGCTGGGAAGGACAGGGATGAGGAGAGGCGTGAATGAGTGGCCATTGTGTTCCTGTATATTCTGGGCCCATTGTGTTGGGCCTCCTCTCCGTGCTGACCACAGGGAGATAATAAAAGCAAAGGGGAGAAACGTGTCATAAGGCTGGACATCGGGGAGGGTGTCAAGGTCAGGAGTACAGCCCGGCCTCAGAAAGCTCTGGAAAGATGCTGGCCCCCACCCTCTCCCTCTGCATCTCTGGACTCCACTCTCACGTCTCTTCATCTCCTCTCTCTATCTCCTCTCTGGCTCACATGGTGGCCTGGGGCCGCGTTACAGCCCAGGAGTTACACGGGAGCCAAGCCTAGAGTTGGACATGACTTTCGGTCCTAATTCCACATTCCAAGAGGGGCAAGTCAGCAGTCGTGGTTTGGTCAGGTGCCCACCTGCACCCAGCCCGCAGCTCCCCACCCCGGGGGCAGGGCAGAAGTATTGCTGGGGGCAGCAGAGGTCTCTGCGAGCCCCTTCTCCCAGAATGAGCCTTTTCTCAAATGTTTCAGAGCACTTTCAAGCATGTCACGGTGGTAATTACTAGAGGAATCAGGGAGAAATACATTTCAATGTCAGAGCTCAGGCAGTGAGGAGGAGGCAGACGCGAGTTTTTCTGTTTTTGCTTTGTCTTGGCTTGTTGCCACCCACCCACTGATACACTGGCCCTGTCCTTCCTCTCTTCCCGTGTTAGAACCTGGCGGCGCCTCTCGTCTAGGTCAAGGTTATACAGTACAAACATGGTGGGGGGGGGCGGGGGAGAGGGACACGGCGGTGCTGTACACGGGGGCGGGGTGAGAGGTTTCCCAGAAGACGGTCTGGAGGTGCTGAGCACCAAAGCGCCTCCACTGCACAGCCTTCTCTGCAGACATCTTCCAAGCAAGTCCAAGAAAGAGAGTGGTGTGGAATTTACTATTCAGTGACTCTGGGGGGAACTCATGCTTACCAGCAAGCCTTTTCTATCTTGGTCCTCATATTAACATTGATCAGATATTCTGGAGTTTGGACTTTTTCCTATTCAAGGAGGCTAACTGAAATGGTTAATTTTTTAATGACTTGAAACTGTATCCCAGAATCACTGATTCTCAGAAACAGAAAAGAAACCTGGAGATCACCCAGCCTAGCCTCCCAACAAGTGCAGGACTTTCTCCTGTGGAAACCTCCAGTGGAAGTGCCCCAGCTTCTGTTTGAATGCTTCCAGGGATGGAGAACTCACTCCTTTTGAGAAAGCCCATTCCCCCGTCCACCCACGTAAATCAACAGTGACTGTCAGAACACAAACGCCCAAGCCCGGTCTTCCTCCCTGTGTCTTCCAGGCCGCGGTCTGACATTTGCCAGTGAGACAAGAAATTCTGAACTGGGCTGGTCATTAGAAAAGGAAACCCCAGTGTGGTAATTTACATAGTTTACCATCACAAGTTTATAGTAATAAAGAGGGTTTCCGAATATGGCCTCAGAATATATTGCAGGCAAGCCCAGGATATAAACACGTGTTGATCTCCTTCCTCTCTCCTGGCATTTAAAGATGTAGGAAAACTTGAAGACCCCCAGAACAGACTCGCTATCAAAAGGCTCATCAAAGAGATTGGGAAGCCTCGAAATTATGGTTTAACAGACGAAGAAAAGGCAGAAGAGGAGCGGAGGGCTGCCGAGGAACTCCTAGCCAAGGAGGCTATGGAGAAAGCGGAACGGGAGCGCCATGAAGCCACGGAGATGGCCGAGAAGATGGCCCGCTGGGAGGAGTGGGTGAGTGTGCGCGCATCTGTGTGTGTGTGTGTGGGGGGGTTGCACAGCCATTTAAGGCCAGCTGCTCTTCCCATCCTACTAATAGAGAAATATCACGGAAATACCCCAAATAAGTTTTGTTCGTTTAGTTATATGTACCATTTTTAAAAAGATGCCCATGGACTTTTGCTTAGCTATCAATAATGATAATAACTAGCCACTGCCGGCAGTATTGGTAACACACATCCCTGTAAATGGGTAACATTTTGCTGCATGTTGACCTTGTGATTTCATTTGATTTTCTTCTATCTACCCACCTAACCTGGGTGGACAGCCTCATCCCACCCTCTCATCCCCCTCGTCACTGAGTCTTAACCTATCCTGCTTCCTACAATAGCACTCCACCCACAGCTCCCCACGCCTCCTCATCAGGGTCAGTGTTTTTCGCCAGAATTATGCGGTGAGGGCCTCCCCCTTGGTCTCCCCAGCTCTGCCCCTGTCCATCTCCAGTCTCTTCCAGTGCTGCTGCCAGGGCCGTCTAAAATACAGATCCATCACGGCCATTCTCTGTTTAAACTTCACCGTATTAGACGAAAGCCCAAACTCCTTATCGTGGCCCCCAAGGTCCTTTGTGACCTGACTGCTTCTAATATTTCCCAGTGCATCCACACGTGCGCCATCTGCGTGACTAACTTCCCCATTTTTTCTTTGAGTCCTTACTAGAACTCATCTTTCCAATGAGGCCTTTCCTGGACACCATATTGAAAATTTCAACTCCTGCCCCTCCCCCAAACATGTCATATCCCCTTTTATGCTTTTTAATTTCCCTCTTTGCACTGATTCTATCTAATGTACAGAAGGGAGGGAGGGAGAGAGGGAAGGAGGAAGAGAGGGTATGGAGGATGTTCTGTGCGCACATCTTTGTGTGCACGTTTATCTCCTTAGCATAAATCCCTAAGGCTTGCTAGGCCAGACTCTGGGGACACCGTTTAATTTTTGATACATATTTCTAAACTACCCTCCAGCCAGTACATCATCTATCACTGTTTCCCTACACCTCCTCCAACCCTGCTTTCTCAGTTTTGTTCACGCAGGCCAATCTGATAAACAAAAACCCATCTCATTGTTTTAGTGTCCGTTTCTCTGATCACGAATTTAACAGCTTTTCCTACGTGAGTTAGGCATTTCTATTTCTTCTTATGCCACACCTATGCTCTGCCCACATTTGGGCTGCGTGTCTTTTTCTTGTTATTTCACAAAATAGTTCCTGAAAAGGATAGTGCAGAAGAAACAAGAATGGCCCCGGGAGGCAACCGTCTCCCAAGCTGTCCAAGTCTGGCTCCACTCTCTGTAGGTACATAGCCCTGAGCACATCACTCCATGTCCCAGTGTAGCACCTACTTCATAGAGTTGCTGTAGTGATTCAAGAGTTAATGTGTGTAAGAGCATGCAAACAGTGCCTCGCAAACGGTGTGTGCACCTGTAATATCCCAGCTTTTTATAATGTGTTGCAAATAGTTTTTCTCAACACCCTGTTTATCTTTTCACACCATTTATGGTGTTTCTTCTGACCATAAAAAAAAAAAGATTTATGTCATATGTAGTCAAATCCATCAACCTTTTTCCCATTTTGATTTCTGGGTTTGCTGTCTTGCTGGGAAAGACCTCTTTTCAAATGAATATCAGTTAGGACTCTTTACTCCTTATCTTGCAGTTGACAGAAAAGCTAACTCAAAATGGCTTAGAAATAAAATGTATGGATTCATATAATAGACAAGCCCAGGGGTAGGGCTGGCTTCAGGCAAGACTTCATATAGCCACTCAGATGTCACCAAGGATTGGGGTCCCTCTCTAAGCTCTGTCTTCCATGTTGGCTCATCTTTAGGCTCTACTGATATGTCCATCCCAGGGGCCGGCAAACTTTTGAGATGGAAGAGCCAACCCTGTCCCTCGCAACAATTTAAAAATTATTCAAGAGCCATAAAACAAATGAAATCACCATTATGTGAATAATATCCTTTAAAAATTGTATAAATGAAACTATGATAGTTTTATTTTCATTTTCAGTTTTACTTCAGAGCCACATGTACGTACCCAAAGAGCTGCATGTGGCTCGCAAGCCGCAGTTTGCCGACCCCTAGTCCATCCTTAACTAATGCCCGTGGACAGAAGCAGGCTGGGTTGATGGGCTTAAGTCCCACCTAAAACACTAGGCTGAGAAGGGCGATTTCTCAAAGGAAGTCTGGAATAATTTTTCCCAAAAGAGGGTATGCTGAGCCAGGAATAACACATGTCCACCAGACCAGTAATTCTAGACTTTCTACTAGCATTCCTTCCTCCCTTCTTTCTTTCCTCCCTCCCTCCCTCCCTCCTTCACTCCCTCTCTCCCTTCCTTCCTTCCTTCCCTCTTTCATCTGGACAGCTAGTACTTATTTTTGTTTAAGAAGTGAGGTAGGGATCGGGTTATTATTTTCTGAATGACTAGCCCATTGTTATAACACCATTCATTCCTCTTCTCTGCTGGTTGGAAACACCATCTCTATCGTAACGTGGTGAACATTTACAGCACGATCTAGTTCTAACACATTGTGGAGTGAGTTGTGTGGAAGTGTTCCCCCTTTTCTGACTATGTATTTATCCGACCCCCAAATGTTCCGTTTGTAGAATAAGCGACTAGAGGAAGTGAAAAGAGAAGAAACAGAATTACTAGAGGCCCAGTCTGTTCCGCTGAGAAACTACTTAATGACCTACGTCATGCCAACGCTTATGCAGGGTCTGAACGAGTGTTGTAAGGTCAGACCAGAGGATCCCATTGATTTTCTGGTAAGAGATTTAAGTGTTTTTCTTTTTTTAAATATCAATTTGAAAATAAAATATGCCTGACTCTAAATGGGAAGCCAGTTGAGATCAAGAAATTGTGTGTCTGGGATTTGGGAAATAGCCTCTAATTCCTTCACAGTGTATAATAATAATTTTTATTACTTATTTGAAAGTAAAAGATTTATGTGCTTTTATTTAAAATGGTAAGCATTAATAGTACAAATACATGACTCATAAATACCTTGCAGTATCTTTGGAATTGTTGCCTTACTTCCTTTCTTTCAATTATAGGCAGAGTATCTCTTCAAGAACAATCCGGAAACGCAGTGAAACTTTTAAGACCTCATACCTTTACAGAGCTAGAGATGATTTTAATATTGTCATTTGAAAAATGGCTTTAAAAAATGCTTTTTCAGTTTTTGGAAAGTTCTTTTCTTTTTCCCTAAGAGCAAATATTTTATTGAGTAGAATCATTATAAAAAGCTGTATGGCGATGAGTGACTACTTCATTAAAACTCTATTTGAAAGGTAGATTGACAAAGGAATCTGTGCGTAGTTTCTGGGACAAGCATTGATTTAATATTTCATTCTTAGTCTAAGTATCCTGCACACTAATGTTTCCCGTGATTTTCAGCATGAAGAAAATCAGACTGTATATTATTTGAACATGTAGATTAATGCATTTACACAATTTGTTATGGCCCAAATACCAGTGATGCTAGAGATGGACGTACATTAGAATGATGTATGCTTTGTTGAGTCACAGTAAGTCACACACGATTGGTTTCCACAGGTTGCTTTCTGAGTTCAGAGTTAGCATTCCAACCAATGGGTCAGAGAGCACAGGAAACCTCTTGGTAGAAAAATTCGTGTTACAGGATGAATAATTCTAACTTCTGTGATAATTAGAAAGTTGCCGAATATTTTCAACAAACTAGCTTTACAATATAGGCGTAAGCAATCAATCCCTATGGTCTTTTCCAGCTCTAAAATCCTCCAGAATTCCCAGAATTACACTGAATGAGAAATTAGTTTAGGTTTATTTTAATGGTATATATGTTTTATCCTTTTAAATAATGTAATTTCAATATAACTGCATTTTTTTTATTGTAAAGTACACACAACATAAAATTTAGCATTGTAACCATTTTAAAGTGTACAATTCAGTGACATTAAGTACCTTCACAGTGTTGTATGCTCATCACCACTGTCTAGCTGCAGAACTTTTTTATCACCCCAGATGGAAACCCTGTAACCCATTAAGCAGTCACTCCCCATTATCTCCTCTGCCCAGCTCCTAGGCAACCACTAATCTGCTTTCTATCTCTATGGATTTGTCTATTCTGGATATTTTGTATAAACATAATCATATCATATGTGGCCTTTTGTGTCTGGCTTCTTCCATTTAGCATGTTTTCAAAGTTCATCCATGTTGTAGCATTTATTGGTACTTCATCATTTTCATGGCTGAATTATATTCCATTGTGTAGGTAGACCACATTTTGTTTAATCATTCACCTGTTGATGTACATTTGGGTTGTTTCCACCTTTAGATATTGTGAATAGAGCTATGAACGTTCATGTACAAGTTCTTGTTTGAACACCTGTTGTCAATTCTTTTGGGTAGATACCTAGGAGCAGAATTGCTGTCATATGGTAATTCTGTGTTTAACTTATGGAGGAACTGCTAGTCTGTTTTCCAAAGTGGTTGCACCATTTTACATTCCCACCAGCAATATGTGAGGATTCTAATTTCTCTGCATCCTTACCAACACTCACGTGTGTGTGTGTGTGTGTGTGTGTGTGTGTGTGTGTGTGTGTATTTAATGGTGATGAAGTGTGTATCACTGAGCATCTTTTCATGGGCTTGCTGGCCACTTGTATTGGGTTGTCGGAAAAGTCATGACGTATTTTTTTTCTATGCTTTTCATTGCAAAAATATGTCATGACTTTTCTGATAACCCAATACATCTTCTTTGGAGAAGTGCATATTCAAGTTCTAGGCTCACTTTTTATTTGGGTTGCTTGTCTTTTTGTTATTGAGTTATAAGAGTTCTTTATATACTCTGGATATAAGACCCTTATCAGATATATGATTTGCAAGTATTTTTCTCCCATTCTGTGGCTTATCTTTTCACTTTCTTTTTTTTTAACCATATTTTATTTTGCTTTATTTTATTTTATTTTTTTAAAGATTTTATTGGGGGAATTGGGGAAATTGGAGGAGAGGAACAGTGTTGGAGAATTGGGGAAGGAGACCAGCCAAGTTGTTGTTCTTCAATCTTCGTTGTCGAGGGTGCCAGTCGCCGTCTGTCGGCAGCTCAGGGCCTCTAAGCTCAAGGTGCTGTGTTCAATCTTAGTTGCGGGTGGGTGTAACCACCATCCCATGCGGGAGTTGAACCAGCAGCCTTGTTATTAAGAGCGCACGCTCTATCCACTGAGCCATCCGGGCGGCAGTTCTGCTCAAGGTGCCAAGTTCAGTTTTAGTTGCGGGCGGGTGTGGCCCACCATCGAACAGGCAGTCTTGTTGTTACACCAGCTGAGCCAGCCTGCCACCTGATGGCAGCTCAGTGACAGCTCAGCTCGGGCGCAGCATCACTGGGCCATGTGGAAATCGAACGGGTGGCCCTGTTGCTCAGAGTTTGCGCTCTTAAGCCAAGTCTTAACCAACGGAGCCACTCGGCTGGCCCATCTTTTCACTTTCTTGATGGTCCACTTTAATGCACAAAGGTTAATTTTGATGACATCCAATCTACCTATTTTTTATTTTGTTTCATTGCACTACATTTGACCCTTGTATTTTAATAAAAAAATACTAAGTAAAGAGAACACATTTTCAAGAGTTTGAAATCATTAGTCTTTCTGTTTTCCTGTATCTCGAGAGACTAAAAAAGTACATAGCACATGGTGGAGGTGTAGTAAATATTAGTGAATGAATGCTATTTCACTGAAATTATGTTATATAGCCATGTTTTTAATAACTAATTTAAATCTCCAGTCACTCAATGAAGTCCATAATTTACTTACATTTCCCCATGGGACACTTAAGCAACTCTGAGGGTCACTAAGAAGCTTCACTAAGTGGCGTTAAGTTTGGCGAATTCACGAGGGAGTCTAGCCTTCGCAAATGAAGAAGCATGATCTCAGTCGCATCTTAGGATAGATAAGACCCTAAGCTGCTGACTTGTCTTAACCTCCTAAGTGACCAGGAAAGAAGACAGAGCACTGATGTATTCACAATGAGAAACATAATTGTTGAGTGGACTGGTACTTATCCCATTTCACCAGGCATTCTCCTCATGGAAGCAGGTTAAAGGAGAGGCAAATGATCAGAAGGGCTTGGGGAACAGCAAACTGGGACAAGGCATTAGCCTCTGCTAGCTCGGCACATCATTCCCGCCATACCTGTCCGGTGTTCCGGTCCTTGCTGACAAGATGCACGTCCCCTGACACCATTTGGATGGGCAGTAACAATTTTAGTGACTTTCCTCAACACATTCTCTCTTCAGACATACTAACATATTCACTCTTTCAGGTCTTTGTAGGTTAGGAGGCGTTTACCCTCCTTAAGGTGACTTCATATTTCTGGTTTGATCCATTAAGCATCATTTTACAATTAAGCTCTCTGAAGGCAATCCCCTCCCCCCATACACACACCAAATCTGAGCAAGGCAGCCTGTCACTGTTAAGCATTCTGTCTACATAACTATAATTTCATTACACATATTATTATATATATGTAAATTTTGGAAAGATATAGTTTTATGTTACTTAAAATAGTATTATTCACAGTAGAATACCTAGGGACAATCTAAAAAAGATGTGTAAGACCTCTATACTGAATATTAGAAAACACTGATGATAGTAATCAAAAATGAAATCAATGGAGGGATAAACTATGTTAATGGCTTGTAAAGTTCAATATTGTTAATACTTCAGTCCTTCCCCAAAATGATTTGTAGTGTCAGTGCAATTCCAGTCAAAATCCCAGTGTGTTTCCTCTCTCTCTCCCTCTCTCTCTCTCTCTCTCTCTCTCTCTCTCTCTCTCTCTCTCTCTCTGAAATTGAGCCTCTGATTCTGAAATGTACATAGTGATGCAAAGGACTTAGAACAGTGCCAGGAATCTTGAAGAACCACAAACCTGAAGGTCTTCACTCTCCAAAGACCAAGACTTACTGTAAAGCTACAGTAATTAAGACAGACACATAGATCAATGGAATAAAATAAGGAGTCCAGAGAGTAATCCATACGTTTACGATCACTTGATTTAGAATAATGACACCACTGCAACTCAGTGGAGAAAGGATGCTCTTTTCAATAAATGATGCAGGTCAGGTGGAGAACCATATATTCAAACAAACAAACAAACAAAAACAGAAAAACCCTTGACAGTACTTCACACCATACAAAAAATTATTTTGAGATGGATCATAGACTTAAATGTGTAAGTCAAAATAGTAAAGTTTCTAGAATAGAATAATATATAAGAGGAATTCTCCATAACTCTTGGCTGGGCAAAGATTTCTCCAGACAACATTAAAAGAGTGAAAAGGCAAGCTTCAGAATGGGGAAGATATTTGCAATAGATATTTATATGACAGAGGACTTATACTCAGAAAATATTAGAAACTCCTACAAGTCAATAAGACTGACAACCCAATTTAAAAATAGGCAGAAGACAGAGTAACCACTTCTTAAAAGAGCATATCCAAATGACCAATCAGCATATTAAAGTGCTCAAAGTCATTAGTTGTCAGAGGAATGCAAGTGAAAACTGCAGTGAGATTTCATTACAAAGCTGCCAGATGGCTGAAATTAAATGGACTGATTATACTCAGTGTTGGGGAGGGTGTGGAACAATTGGCACCCATCTATATTGCTGGTGGGAGTACAGATTGGTTGTATCCCTTTGAAAACTATTCGGGAGTACTTACTAAAGCTAAATATGGGTACACACATGATCCAGCAATTCCACACTTGGGTATATCCAAGAGGCATGAGTGCATCTGTCTACAAAAAGATGTGTACAAGAATATTCGGAGCAACAGGACTCATAAAAGCCCCAAACTGGAAGCAAGCCAAATCTCCATCAATAGGAGAAAGATACTCGTACATTGTGGTAGTAGAGAATAATCCACAGCAATGAAAAAGAATGATCTGTTACCTCTGACAACATGAAGAATCTCACAGACATACTATTGAGTAAAAGAAGTTAGATACAAGGGTAAATACTGTGTGATTGCCTGTATATGAAGTTAAAAACAGATAGAAGTAATCTGTAGTGATAGACGGCAGGATAGCGGTTACTTGGTGATGGTGGCGATGGTGAGGATGGTGATGATGGTGATGATGGTAGTAACAGAGGATTATCCCCTGGGAGGAAGACTACTGGGTATTGGACATTTTCTTTTTTCTTTTCATTGAAATGCATAGATTTAATCAATAGGTTAATGGATGTTTTCTATATCTTGACTTAAGTGATAGTTACAAGGAGGTATATATAGAAAAAAATTCATACCACTCTGTATGGAGTGTTGCAGAGTGTTATGGAGATGGGGGACAAGTACAAAGGCCTTGATATTTGTACACTTTGCTATATAAGTTGCACTTTAATGATCTTTGTTAAATGAGCTAGTACTTCATCTTAAAAATAGTAAAGTATACCATGCATCCTTAAAGTTAAAAAAAACAAAAACCTCCTTAAAATATGGACTTGTTCATAACCATAGTTTCTTAGATCCACTTCAGGAAAGAAAAATAGCATTTGAATTCCCATGGAAAGTTTAGTCTTTGATATTAAAAAAATTAAAATTAATCAAAATGCAGTCCAAGTTCTTTAGTGTATTTGGGTGTGGCACAATATTAGGCGTTACACAATGTTAGTTTAGTTGATAAGGCAGGTGGACTCTAGGATGGCCTCACTTGATCTTTGCTTGCTGGTATTCATGCCTTTGTGTAATCTCTTTGAATGTGGGTGGGCCCTGTCATTTGCTTCTATCCAGTGGAATACAGCAAAGCTTAGGTTACATCAGATTGTAAATGAGATCATGCTAGCCGACTCTATTGCCTTCTCTGCTTATATATGCTTTGATGAATCAAGCTATGTTGGAGAGGCCCACGTGGCCAGGAACTGAGAGGGCTATTAGCAAACAGCCAGCAAGACACTGACACTTTCAATCCAACAGCTTTGAAGAACTGAATCCTGCCAACAAACATGTGTGGAAGTGGGTCCTTCCACAGTTGAGCCTACAGATGAGACCCCAGTCCTAACACCATGAATGCAGCCTTGTTGAGTGACCCCGAGCAGAGGACTCAGCT